CCTCCGCGGGCCCCGCGGCCTCTTCCACGGCCCCTGCCGCGACCACGACCGCGACCCCGGCCGCCAGTGCCGAAACCTCCGCGAAAACCTCCTCTACCACCGGCGTCGTCCGCCATTTGCTGTAAAACACGGAAAACCCGTCAGTTCATGAACAAGTGACTTGAATGTCAGGCACATGATAAATGCACTTGTCACACAACACCTGCTTAGAATCGACTAACATGCTATTATATAAGCCAACGTAGACATTATAGTCAAAGAATGCATATGCAATCGTGTAATTGATACGAATGGTACACTAGAGTTAAGGACATAAAGAATAAATGACTAAATACACCGCTGCCCCGCCATTTTTGAGACCATCTACTTAAAAGTGCTCTCAAATAACCTATCCGCTCAATTCACAAGATTCATTCTGCGATCACATTGTTGCTAAGACGCACACGGACGCCTTCTGTACAAATGTAGCGTTTTTATTTCGCGATTGCGGAGATATTAACAGATATTGTTCAGCACAGACGCCCGCGCTCACTTACGTGATGTGTATGCAGGAAGAAGAAGGCCGCACGAGAGTTCGAGGAGTATTTACTCAAGCGCAAACATCGCGATATTTGATCGCAGCCGTGATAATGACGGCCTCTAGCGACAGTCGAGTCTGTCTGTTCTAGCAGAGCTCTATTTTGCACAATATTACAAACAGAGCAGCTAAAAAGACCTGTGAAGCACTATGTGACTTTAATTCGGTTAATTAAATATAAAAAAAATTTGTATCCCTGGCATAGATCAAATTTTTTTTACCCATGTAGATGCACTTGTTTTTGTTTCCCCCCCTCTGTTTCCCCTTTTTCTATTACTGTTGTGAGATGTATATGTTTGTATTAATATGTTCATAATTGCATAATAAAAAAATTCTAGCAAAGCTAGCCGATGATACAAATAACACAAACGAGTAGTGCCGTCAAACGATTAATCGCGATTAATCGCATCCAAAATAAAAGTTGTTGTTTACATAATATATGTGTGTGTATTTATATATACATAATAAACATGCACAGTACACACACATATAAACAAAAACTTTTATTTTGAATGCGATTAATCGCGATTAATCGCATCCAAAATAAAAGTTGTTGTTTACATAATATATGTGTGTGTACTGTGCATGTTTATTATGTATATATAAATACACACACATGCATGTATATATTTCAGAAAAATTTTCAAAATATATGTGTGTGTATTTATGCATAGTAAATATACACAGTACACACACATATATTATGTAAACAACAACTTTTATTTTGGATGCGATTAATCGCGATTAATCGTTTGACAGCACTACAAATGAGTAATGACATAAATTGAATCGTTACGTTAAATCATTTATTAAAGAAATAACATTGAAAGAGAGAAAATCAAACAGAAGAAGACATATATATTCTGAATTGGTTTGTGTCCGCTTGTTTACTGGTTACTAACTGAAAATAGCTAGCTTTGTATAGCCTGGTAAAAAATAAAATACAGAGAAGAGGACACATAAAAGAAAACAAAACTTGGTCAGTGGTCAAAAAACAGTCAGTCTCCTCAGTTCTGTCCCTCTGAGACAACAGAAGAAAAAATACTAGCTCTAATGTAAGAATGAAATGTGCTGTTATGGTGCTGACCCTTAAAAAACAGTGACATTATGCCCAGTTCATGCACAACATCTTGAATACATTAACTCAGCATTTAGCTTAACAAATACAGTTAAACATAGCAAGAGTGCTCACATGATTGTAAAAGGCTTGTGAGAGGAAGGTCATCGACAGACATATTACCACATCAAGTTTATTGAATTTTTTATCAGTAAAAATAGCACACATGGAAGAAATGTGAACATGACGAGTTTTTAAATGAGTCCAATATGTTGCAGTTAAACTTCTTTTCCCAAAATTATAGTTTCCAGGTTTGCTGGAAGCTGCAGGTTTTGCAGATCAGAGGGAAGAGCGTGGATCAGGGCATTCGTTTTCTTCACTCATCAAGATTTTGGTAAACATCTGCACTATGGTACCCATTTTGAAGACCTGTAGACTGTATAGGGAAGATTGAAAAAAAAAGGTTAGGCTATAACAAACACTTTTTAATCATATAGTAAACATGTCATGAAAATTTCTGACTTAAGACTCTGCTATGTACATATAAATTATTAGAAATTGGGCATTTTCTAAATAATATACGTTTTAAAAGATTAAAAAACCTTCTGAAAACCTTGTAGTGCGCCTGCAATTTGCCACCAACTAAGTTCCTTAACATCACATGATGTATATGTATGTGACAAAACCTAAACTTAAACCTATTCAAATAAACTGGAGTAATGGCTGCTGAAAAGTCAGCTTTGACATCACAGGAATAAATTACATTTTAAAATAATATTGTAATAATATTTTGCAATATTAATATTTTATACAGCAACGGTATTGAGGGCAAACAATACCTTGTTCTCACTTTTACTCCATCTTCTTTTAAAGACTGATTTGAATTGTCCAGTCTATTGATGAAAAAAAAATCTACTATTTAATTTCCATTAAATTCCATAGTGTCAAAATGTAAACATTATTTAAATTTTGTAAACACTTAGAAAATGTAAGCATTATAGAGTGGACATAAAAATGCTAATGCAGATGCAGAAAAAAGGTACAAAGCTGTCACTTTGGAAGTACCCTGAGGTATAAAAGCTACCTTATTTACCCCTAAATGGTATTAGCACCTAAGTGTACAATTTATTCCCTTTTAGCTTTTGTACCTTAGGGTACTGCCCCAGTGATAGCTTTGTACCTTTTATCCTGAAAGTGTAACATTGCATTATTTTGAAAAGTTGTACTGTAATTGTACCTTTAAACTATCTATCTATCTATCTATCTCTCTGTCTCTCTGTCTCTATGTATGTCTATCTATCTATCTATCTATCTATCTATCTATCTATCTCTCTCTCTGTCTGTCTGTCTGTCTCTCTCTCTGTCTCTCTCTCTCTCTCTCTCTCTCTCTCTCTCTCTCTCTCTCTCTCTCTCTCTCTCTCTCTCTCTCTCTCTCTCTCTCTCTCTCTCTCTCTCTCTCTCTCTCTCTCTCTCTCTCTCTCTCTCTCTCTCTCTCTCTCTCTCTCTCTCTCTCTCTCTCTCTCTCTCTCTCTCTCTCTCTCTCTCTCTCTCTCTCTCTCTCTCTCTCTCTCTCTCTCTCTCTCTCTCTCTCTCTCTCTCTCTCTCTCTCTCTCTCTCTCTCTCTCTCTCTCTCTCTCTCTCTCTCTCTCTCTCTCTCTCTCTCTCTCTCTCTCTCTCTCTCTCTCTCTCTCTCTCTCTCTCTCTCTCTCTCTCTCTCTCTCTCTCTCTCTCTCTCTCTCTCTCTCTCTCTCTCTCTCTCTCTCTCTCTCTCTCTCTCTCTCTCTCTCTCTCTCTCTCTCTCTCTCTCTCTCTCTCTCTCTCTCTCTCTCTCTCTCTCTCTCTCTCTCTCTCTCTCTCTCTCTCTCTCTCTCTCTCTCTCTCTCTCTCTCTCTATCTATCTATCTATCTATCTGTCTGTCTGTCTGTCTGTCTGTCGCTCTGTCTGTCTGTCTGTCTGTCTGTCTGTCTATCTATCTTACTCTCTCTCTCTCTCTCTCTATCTATCTATCTATCTATCTATCTATCTATCTATCTATCTATCTATCTATCTATCTATCTGTCTGTCTGTCTGTCTGTCTGTCTGTCTGTCTGTCTGTCTGTCTGTCTGTCTGTCTGTCTATCTATCTATCTATCATGTATTCTTCGTAAAACTACGTAATTTTATTTTGATTATTTTTCGATAGTATAGTAACTATGTTTACCATAGTCATTTTTGCAAGGGAGTCTCAGTGGGCGTGGCCAGAATCCACGGCCGCATGAACTACTATTCCCAGAATTCATTGTGGTTTCGCAGTTGGCCACGTCACGTCCACCGGCCACGTCGCCCCTCATTCGCCATATTTCGTGGAGGAATGCTGTGGAGGAGAGCGGCATTGAGCCGGTTCATAGCTATCGCACTCACCCCGAGCTCTCTTTCACACCACTAAACCCAGCCAGAGAGAGAAAGACATCATGAACGTCTTTAGGCTGACTGGAGATCTGTCTCATCTAGCTGCCATCATCATCCTCCTGCTCAAGATATGGAAGAGCAGGTCCTGCGCAGGTGAGCTGAACTCACACAAAAACATACTTTCCTAATATGTGTCATTCTTAATATGCGTATTTAAGAAAGATAGAGGAGACTTTAGACTGTGTTGGGGCTGTCGGAAAAGTCTTGTGAATTTGTATTCAAGCATGAAGCATAAAATGAAGTGCAGTTTGTGTAGCATTCAAGCTAGTGGGTTAGCTTGACTTGAAAGCAGTTGAAGGCTCGATTTTTGTTGAATTTGACAATGAAAATTATGTTTAAATGGACGGATCAGTATGTATTTAACATGTTGTGATCGTTAATGTTTTGCATACGGATTTGAAGGATATCAAACATCACAGGCTTGTTCTGAGTGACTGAAATAGCTGAAACTTGTGGCCTAGTTACTAACTGCAGTTTAATAATAGTTTGTTATTTATATATTACACATATATTACACATATATATATATATATATATATATATATATTACACACACAC